CAAAACACACCCCGGGCCCAGTGCAGGCGTGGCCATGGCCGGGGGGGCCGTGGGGCTGCTCACCTGGTGGTCCGTGTGTCCCGCAGGGCCGTGGAGATGTACTCGGACATGCGCTTCTCCATCAGCGCCACGCGGATCCACGCCCGGCCCTGCAAGGCAGCGCCGCAGGCAGCCCTGAGGGGGGGGCTGCCATTGGGTCCCCCCCTCACAGCTGCCCCTCACCACAATCCCACCCACCCCTGGTGCTCTGGGGACCAGCAGATGGGCGTTCCCCACCCGGGAGTGGCTTTTGACCCATTTTTCGGTCCCACAGGGACCCACAGCTCCTGTTGCACCCTGGTGATCCCATGGGGTCGTATGGGGGGCAAAGAGGGAATGAGAATGGGATGGGATGGGAAGAGGGGTGGGATGGGATGGGAAGAGGGGTGGGATGGGATGGGAAGAGGGATGGGATGGGGTGGGATGGGATGGGAATAGGGGTGGGATGGGATGGGATGGGATGGGATGGGGTGGGAATAGGGATGGGGTGGGATGGGATGGGGTGGGATGGGGATGGGATGAAATGGAATGGGGATGGAATGGGATAGGAATGAGTATGGGACAGGATGGGACAGGGACAGGGATGGGGATGGGAAGGGGATGAGAAAAGATAAAGTTGAGGATGGGATGGGATTAGGATGGGATGGAGGTAGGATATGGATGGAGATAGAAAGGGAATGGGTCCGTGTACCAGGGACAGGGTGTGAATGGAAGCAGGGGAGGCAAGAATAGGAATGGCAATGGGACAGGGCTGCGGCTGGCGCCCTCCTGACCTTGGCCCTGGAGGTGCTGATGTTCTCCATGTTCTCGATGCTGCTGACGCAGTTGTTGGGGACCTTGCTGCAGGCCAGGCGGATGTAATCCCAAAACCCGCGCTGCCCATCGGAGCTGAACCAGCTGACAGGGCCTGCGGGCACCCAGGGGCTGCGGTTGGGGGCTGCTGTGCTGGCAAAGCCCCTGACAGAGCCCGGACACAACCCCTGGTGCCACTGTGGACATCCCCACCCACCCTGGGGCACAGGGGTGGGGACAGGGTCGCCCCCCGTTACCTTTGAAGCGGTGGCTGAGGATCTGCTCGAGGATGGCGGCGAAGTTGACGAACTCCTCGGAGGAGTCATCGATGGGATCCGCCGTGTACTTCTCCAGGAGGGTCTTCACCGAGAACCTGGCAAGGGTTTGGGCGTCAC